ATGTTTCCTTATTCATCTATATTCGTGACTCTTGTGTGTTTATATTTGCTTGTGTATGTTGATGACATCCTTGTTATGGGTTCTGATGCTTATCGTGTTACTCGGCTCCTTACTGACTTAGCCTCAGAATTTAAGATTCGTGACATGGGTGCTCCGTCTTTCTTTCTTGGCATTGAGACGGTTTCCCAGGATAGCGGTTTGTTTCTTTCTCAGCAGCGATACATGCGGGATATTTTGAATCGTGCAGGTATGGTGGATTGTAAACCGTTGGCCACTCTAGTTCTTGTGTCTCGGCCATCTTCTGATTTTGTGGTTCCCTATGCGGATCTCACGCAGTATCGTAGTCTTGCTGGGGCTCTCCAGTACCCTACTGTAACATGCCCGTATCTATCATTTGCTGTGAATCGGGTTTGTCAGCACATGCACTCTCCGACTACTGAGCATTGGGCTATGCTCAAGCGTGTGCTGCGGTACGTTAAAGGTACTCTGCATTTTGGTCTTTTTATTCGTCGTTCCTCCTCTGTTGCCATTCATGCTTTTTCGGATTCAGACTGGGCTGGTGATCCGACTGACAGAAAATCCACGAGTGGTTTTGCGGTTTTTCTTGGTGGTAATCTAATTTCCTTGTCTTGTCGAAAGCAACGTACAGTTGCTCGTTCATCTACTGAGGCAAAATACAAGGCACTGGCTGATGTGTTTGCAGAAGTCACCTAGCTTGTTTCTCTGTTGCACGAGCTTGGCATCTCGTTGGTTGTTCCTCCTACTCTCTGGTGTGATAACCTGGGTGCGACCTATCTATGTTCCAATTCGGTGTTTCATGCTCGCACGAAGCATGTGGAAATTGACTATCACTTTGTTTGTGACAAAGTGGCGAAGAAGGAGTTGCAGTTTAGCTTTATTTCCACCAAGGATCAGCTAGCTGATGTGTTCACTAAAGCTCTGCCTGGTCCGCGTTTCTCTACTCTGTGTGGCAAGCTCAATGTTGTTGCTAGCCAACCTTGTGCTTGAGGGGGAGTATTAGGAGTCTATTATTATTAGTATTCGTCTTGTAATAGGTTTACTATTCTCTACTAGATATACTCTTGTACAGACTCATTCATTCTATTATTATTCAGATATATCGTATCCTCATCATGGTGTCTGCATGTTTATGGTTTGGCTTGAGTGGATAGTAAATTGGGAGATGAACAGTTATTTTACGTTAATTTTGGTTTGAAAACATTCTCATAATTTGTTTGTCGGTATGTGCATGTTTTTGTTTGGGCTTGTGCATGTATTTGTTTGGGTTTTTTCTTAACGTGGGGGTAAAAAATCCTAATGCCGTACTATTATGGTATTTGTCAATGTGTGCGTGAAGTTGTTATGGCGTGTGCGTGCATATGGTTTCGCTTGAGTGAATTGGAAAATTTGGAGATTACCAGTTATGTTACGTTTATTTTGGTTGAAAAACATTCTCATTATTTGTTTGCCCGTGTGTGCATGTCTTTGTTTGGGCACTTGTGCGAATTGTAGCATGTTATCTTTACAATGTTATTTCTAGTGTTTGATAAATTAAGAAGAACAAAAAAAATTATGAAGGGTATGGGTGGTTGCACGTTTGGTGTCTATTCTTTGTAATTAATGAATGTATGGGTAGAATTAGTTTTTATGTCTGTACATTGTCTTTGAGTTTCTTTATGTGGGGTTTTATTGGTTTTTTGACGATGCATTCTTTAATAGTCGTGTGTGCGTTGCAGTGTCATCGCGTGTGCAAATCACGGTAGGGGGTTTTTGCATCATTTTTAAAGCAAAAATAGAAGTTATTTTCTGTGTTTTTTTATTCATTTTTTAATGTGGATATACTTTTATTGGGTGTTTTTAGTAAGAATTTTAGTTTAAGAAATTATCATGTAATTGATTGGTGCGTTGTTCATTGTGGTGGTATGGTTCATGCGTTAATTTATCTTTCGATTTTTATAAATGTACATACATGTATATAAATATTTGTTTTTTTTAAGTGCCTTTGTTGGTATAATATTCGTTTCATGTCCTTTTTGCGATAGTGTATGTTGGTTTGTGTTTTCGTTTGGCGTGTGCGGGGCATAGTTCTGCCGTGTGCGTATTACCATCCTCAATGTTCTTACATCATTTTTCTTCGCTTTTAAAAATAAATTGTTGTTTTCTTTAACTGTCTTCTGTTTATGGAACTTCCTTTTTTTTTTTTTTTTTTTTTTTTTTTTTTTTTAATTTTTCCATGTGTGTTTGTGTGTAGAATTATTTTGCCTGTTTGTGCATTCAGCTTGGCATTTTTGTAGGGAATATATATATATATATATATATATATATATATATATATATATATATATATATATATATATATATATATATATATATATATATATATATATATATATATACAATATACTAGTAATTGTCCCATGCGATGCACGAAGTATTATTAATTTAACAAATTTACGAATTAAATTTTTGACATTCTCTGAATTAGCAAAGAAAGTAATGGTTGTGTAAACAAAAAAACGTACTTCAGAGTTCTTGAGCTCAGAATTAGTTTGATTAAAAATGTAAGTATAACTATACAATGTAATATTTAATATTTTTAAAAGTTTAATTATACTATTATTATGTTGATTTTAAAGTTTATTGTTACTTGTATTATTATTTGATTTTGAATTTTTTTTGAAAGGAATTTGAATTTGAAATAACTACTTTAATTATATAACTAACGTATTTAAATAAAACTTGTAAACTGGTTTGAGATCTTGATCTATTATCCTTAGATCCGAGTTGTATTTCTCCTCTTTTGATTCAGTAATGAAATTTTGTTCGTATTATAAAAAAAAAAACAGGCAATATTTGTCGAAAATCTACGCCAAAAACTTATTCATTTGAAAAAGATTATTTATGTAAGAACTATATTTATTTTATATATAATTTCTCCTCTTGATATATGTGGAGTCAAATTAATTATAATTGAGGTTTAAATGAATATATACACAAATTATATTAAATATAAAACTTTACCAATAAATTTGAACACAATAAACTTTTTTCCATACTTCATTATGCTTATATATATATATATATATATATATATATATATATATATATATATATATATATATATATATATATATATATATATATATATATATATATATATAGAGAGAGAGAGAGAGAGAGAGAGAGATAGAGCTATAATAATAAAATATAATTTATAAAATATAAATACATATAATAACTTAAAAAAAAATATGTATAAATACATCTACCCACACAATTAATGCTTTCATAATTGCTAATCTTGTTTTTATCAAAATGCATACGTTGGAACTTGAAAGGCAATCTTGGATCTGACGGTGTAAGTGACATTCTTGGAATCAAAACTGTAGTACCTGCATTTGTACCGCCCATGATCTTTGCTTCCAACACGTGATTAGCTAACCTTGTTACAATCAACCTTGTACTGTTGCATAAGCCAATAGTGTGATCAATATTTCTCAAGAGCATAACCTGTGACCCAACTTTCAAAGTCAAAGCATGATTAGGTACTCCAGAACATCGCAGACCATTCAAGAATTCTGGAGTGTGCAAATCCGCTAACATATCTGCATTAGCATCTGACTTGCAAACAGAATCACAACTTAAATAAGTCCTACCCTCACATGGATTATGATCATTCATGTATTGGTTAATGGTATCTACCACATCCAATGTTGGAGCCAATAGAGCACTATCCTTAAGGTATGATAAATCGCCATTAGCCTGTCTGAACATAGGGAAATGTTCTATCAACAATCGTAGCAATAGGATCATCATCACAGTTTAGCAATAACTGATCTGGAATTGTAATCTCTGCTTCACCATCACTTGAATTACCAATTGTTCCGTCACCTTTTTCTATCCAGTTTGCAAACTCTTCAATCTCTTTGGCCTATATCTGTGATTGTACACTTCTTAGGCGTAGATTTGTAGTTAGCCTAAATACTTTGCATGATCTCCAAAGGTATGAGGAATTTATGCTCGCCCCAACAATATCTTGCCTTGTGCCCTTTGGAATAACCGATAGAATTTGCCTAAAATCGCCATAAAAAACAACTGTTTTACCACCAAATGTCATTTCATAACTACTTGAATTTGTGGAGCGCAACAAATCCCTAAGAGTTCGGTCTAGGGCTTCAAAACAGAATTTTTGCATCATTGGAGCTTCATCCCATATTATAACTTGCTTTGCATAATAAGCTCAGCCAATGGGGTGCCTTGTCTTATGTTGCAAGTGGAATCTTCATTCACAGATATAGGTATTGCGAACCTAGAATGTGTTGTCCGGCCACCTAGTAACAGAAGAGAAGCTATGTTGCTAGATGCAACATTTAGAATAATTTCACCCTTACGCCTTAAAGCAAATGACAATTCTCTCTACAAGAAGGTCTTACCAGTACCTCCATAACCATAAACGAAGAATAACCCCCTAGCTTTGCCTTCAATATCTGTTAACACCTCATCATATATTACCTTTTGCTCATCTGTTAGTTGACTTACCAATTCCTGATTCTCTTTCTCCTGAGCAACACAATCATATGTCAATTCTTCTTGTATCAACCTATTTGATATTGCATTATAATTCTCAAAATTTGCAATTGGCATTTCTGAAAAGTCCCTCAAACTCTTTCCCATCATTGATAAAATCTTTTCAATCTCAACTAAAGCAAAGTTCATCTTCTGAGAGTCATTCAACACTGAATCTGCATTTATTTATAGCATTAAAGTACTAAAAATTACATTTGTTGAGATATATTAACTAATTGATTTTTTTTTACATCAATAACAAATGCAAAAGAAGTTAACGAAAAGATTGTGTGTCAACATCAGCCTTATAAGTAATAGGATTAGTGAAAATAGAATTCATATTTTAGAAATATTATACAATTTTTAGAATAAACAGAAGTACCTTTTTGTACTTATCATACAAAAGAGCATCAGGAATGTCAACCAATTTAGCCACCTCCCTATCCCAGAGCAGGAAATGGGCATCTGTAGTTTTGTCTAAGGCTCTAACCAAAACTTTATATCTAGCTGTACCTTCCTCATAGGGGTTTTCACACTTTTCACAGATTAGAGACCCTTCAGTTTTTTTTAAACTTCTTGTTACAGCGAGGTGTCATGCAGGCCATGTAGTACCACTCCCCTGTTGAAGCCTCTATAGCCATAATTTCAGCAGGCACATAGTAATCCCCATCTTGAAAAAATAGTTAGATAAAATATGTTAAATATAACATCATAGATTTCAAAGAAAAATGCATAATGGATAACTAACCCCTTGCAGCTTATAGAGATCAAAGATTGTTGACACAATTCTTTCACCCTTTTGGAAACTATCAATCCCTGTGGACTGTGAGTGAAGAGTGATAGTGCTCAGACTTTTAATAGGAGTCTCTTGAACTTTTAACCTGCAAAAAAAAAAGGATTTTTCAGAATATTTAAGTTGTTTAGAAATGATAAATTGAAGTAAGTATATGCAGTATATATACTAACTGAGATATGAAGTCCTTGAACTCATCAAAGTCAGCATTAAACCATAGCTTAGTTGCATCATATGAAGATGTTATTCTCACCCCACCTACAAAAAAAGTATGTAAAAAAACATAGAATTGTTGACATAGTCATGCAAAATAGGAAATATGTCTAAGGTTAGAAAACTCACCACTCACCACCTT